CGGCCTTGATGGCCCTCACGGTGCCAGACCTGGAGCCTCTGCTCACTTCCCGCTGGGAGCTCTCCCAGCAAAACCCCAGCTTGCTCGGGAGTGGAGAGCCGTGTGCCGAGTTACCTTTGTCTGTGGCCGAGACCGGGGTTCCTGCGTTTGTGCTGACCTTGTTCCTGTCTCCTGCCTGTCCCTCAGCTGCCTGTCTCTGCCGGTTTCCTTCTCTTCCGGAGGGCTGGGCACTGGAGCACACACACCGCAGCCCCCGCTGCCCTCCCAGGACATGCCATGGGCCTGTGTGGTGCCACCACCACCTGCTCCTGTCCCCAGGGCTCCTGCTGGCATGGACACAGGGGACACAGGAGCAGACAGGGATAACCCAGATGGGCAAAGTCCTCGCTCCGCACTTGCTGCACTCCAGCGGTGGCTTTATGGCTTTAGCACGTGAATTAATGTCAGTACAGTCCTCACCACCACAACAGGTTTTATTCTGCTTTTTTCTTCCCATGGCTGCTGTGGTACACACAAAATGCAGATTCACAAAGGGATATGCATTGGGTAGCTGGGGAAAAAAGGGGATGTTTTAGTCAGGGATTCTCACCAAGCAATGAATATCACTTGAAGATTGCATAGTAGTTGTGGAAAGTCAATTTTCAGTTCAAAGTTTTTTTTTTTTTTTTTCTTTGTTTTATAGGGAAAAATATGACATAACAGAGATATCTCAGTGATTTATTTGTGTGGTCAAAAATGCTTTGATTTTGGAAAGTAAATGCCAAATACAAGGTGAAATTCACGGCAATCCCACAATTACCAGCCAACCCCCAGATGAAGTATGCCTGTGTGAAACATTCATTAACTTTTCTGTAATCATGATCTGATTGGAAGCAGGTCAGGCAAACATGAAAGACTAATTTTGGGCAAAGAAATAGTTTTCTGTGAGTAATTAGGATATGTACTCATGGGTAAAGCATTTTGCCAATGTTAGCTGCTGTACAAACATATTCATAACTGTTATTAATGGAATAAGGAAATATTTTAACAGACAGCAGTCAAGATGAGCTTTTCCAAGCCACATTTTCTATAGAGGAATATGAATACATGTATGTCAGGACTATCTGTACATCCATCCAGAAAAGATAGCAGGTGTTTTGGCCAGCTGAAATGGTGTCCGTGGGGCTGTAGTCTCTCCCACATAGCTTTGTGATATCAGCAGAACCCCAGTGCCCAAAGGCAGCTCTGCCTGTCCCCCAGGAGCTCAGGGGAGGGACAACAGGTGGCTGGGGGGCTTTGGTAATGCTTCTTTCTCTTCCTGGCTTGTTGAGCTACTGGTCTATTTTTAAATATTTTATTATTTTATTTTATTTTATTTTATTTTATTTTATTTTATTTTATTTTATTTTATTTTATTTTATTTTATTTTATTTTATTTTATTTTATTTTATAGTGTAAACTCATTTTTTCCTCCACAGGAAGAATATTTCTTCTGAACACCCTGACTCTAATTCCTGAGCACAGAGAGCTGCCTCCAGGAGAAGTGTTGCTGAAAAAGAAAAGGGGAGAAAATGAGGTGTCTGCACAACTGTATCTTACTAGAAGCAAAGACCTTGCATGCTGTACTCCTGCTAGCATGGGCACTGTAATGCTCATTTTACCAGGACAGGGCTATGTTTGCCTTCTCACATAGCCAGTCTCTGCACTGCGGTGCCCAGGGACCGGTCCCACTAGAATGGTGGCACTGGCACTGGTAAGTGCTTGCTGCTCCTGAGAATTACTAAAATGCTTCTCTGGCCTAAAATTTTGGTCTCTGATGGAACAAGGAGACCATTGCTGGAGATGGGCTGTATGCTGCAAGGCAGTGCAAGAAGGGTGGGCACAGGAGTAAGTGATGGCAAATTTATGAGGTCCCACCTTATAAATTTATGTGAAAAGCAATAAAAGTGGTTTTCAGGGTGTATCTGTATGTATATACATCAATTCATGATAGAGCCACAAAAGCCCCATTTCCTTTGTCAGCACAAGAGCTTGCTGAACCAGAGATGCTGGAAAGGTGCAGAGGTCAAACCCACTTTAGAGAGGTTTTTAATAGCCCTTAAATCCCTAGCTGGGATTGTGAAACTCCTACTGGGGTGCCTAGAGAAGGAGCCTCCTTATCTCTCCACTATGGTGACCTGCTGATAAAGTCCAGCTGCTTGAATGGGAAGCCACAAAATAGTTGTATATCAAAAAATTCCCCAGACCTTGATAAAACGGTGGCCAGGAGGAGCCTGGTGCAGATGGGATGTTCTTCATCATTCTTCTTCAAATGCTGAAAAAAAGTCTTTTTGAGTAACAGTAGCAATGTTTTTTTGGGTGGGACAGAGCTCATGCAGATAAAGCCGCCTGTCTTTCTCTTTCTAGGTTTCCTCTCCCAGAGAGGAGCTGTGGCTGCTGCTGCAAAGGCAGGCTGACAGTTGTCGGAGAACCCCTTCTCCTGCCCCTTCCCCTCTGCTGTGGGTTAGCTGCTTGCTGCGAGGAGCCAGATTTGTTCTATTAAAAGTGTGTTCCCGGGTGGAGGGAAGTTCTCATGCACTCTGCCCCGGGCAGCCTGACCCGTGCTGGCTGCGGTGCGAACAGCCTTGTGCTCAGCCCGGCTGGGTGATCAGAAGCAGACCACAGAGGGTGCCTGCCCTGCTCCCCCCTCTGAATGATGCAGGGAGAGGAGGGCTCGGGGCTGCCAGGGCAGAGTCACTGTCCTGGCTCCTCACTTCACCCCTCTGCTGCCCCTCACCAGGCCTGTTGTGCTGCCCTGATAGCAGAAGCGGCACCGGGAGGTCTCACATGCCCTTCAGAGAGGTGAAACCCGACATGCTTCCCAGCCCTGGTGTGGGCTGGTGGCCCCTGGGGGAACATGGGGCTGGGATGCTCCCTGCTTCTCTAGTGTGCAGTGCCAGGTGCTGGCTGAAAGGGGCTTGTCATCCCACACCCCCTGGGACAGTGTGGGACTGGGCTCCCAAAGAAAGCACCTAGCTGTGATACTGTAAACAGAAAGAAAACCTTTCAATCACTAGGCTGCCCTTTAACAAGAAATTAATAAAGCTCCCACTTAAAAGGCAGCGAAACTCAATGTCCGGGCCAGGAGGGCGGCAGGCAGGGAAGCGGAGTGACCTCCGTGTGCTGCAGGATGCTGTGGCAGTGAGAAGCTGCTCCACTTCCCTGCATCTTCTCAGAGTGAAGCGGGAGGATTTGCCAGTTTGTGAAGCCAAAATATTTTGATAGTAAAACATCTCAAGTTCTCACACAATTTCAACAACATCTGGTTTCTGGGAGTGACTTTTCAGGGTGTATTACAAAAGACAGACTCAGTTTCTTCCCAGGGAAAGTCCTTATCAGGGAAACGCCTCTCCGACGAACTTCCTGCGCAGGGACATATCCTGAGGAGAAGGAGATTTGATTTTCCCCTTGTTTGCAACATCAGATTTAGAAAGAGAATTTTCTGTCTGCCAGCATTTTAATGTCCCTTCACTTGAAGAAATCCCACCAGACCTTTTCTAAGAGCACCCTCTGATTTAGACACCTGGAAAAAAAAAACTCTCTCCAGTTAGAAGGTGTTTGAACAGCTTACAGGGTACCTTGTGGTGAAGGTCACCTAGAAGGGGAGCTAGGCAGGGTTCTTGGTCCCAGTTTCCACACAGTCCATCATTTTTTATTCTCAGTCCAGATGGGCACACTGAGGACCTCAACCAAGGTTGGGTGGTGAGTCTGTGGCAGAGCAGAGGCTGGCATTCAGCATTCAGACCTCTGGCCAAATTTCTGGCCCATCTCTCCTCCTTCATACCCTCACACATGGCTGGATTTTCCTCTTCTAAGAGCAACTGGATTCATTCATCAGATAAATACCCTCTAAAGGGAGAGCTACCTTTGAGTGAGAAGCCCAGGATGTGACACTTTTACCATAAAGTTAACGGGCAAAATTCCTGGGCACTTATCATTCCTACAAGAGTCCTCAAAGCCCATTTTCCTCCCAGGGACAGCTGCATCTGCACCTGGGTGAGGTGAAAGCACCCCCTCAGGGCCCGATGGAAGGAGCTGCTGTGGCTACAGGGACTTGGGTGATTCCCAAGGCCTGGGCCTGTCATGAAGGGCAAGATGGTGCCTCCTTGAGAGGGACCTCTTCACTGGCTCATTTGGTGGATGTTGCCATTAACAGCCCACCTGTTACCCCCCTACCAGCACCTTGCACTCTGCTGCAAACTACACCTTGGTCTGAGGGTAAAGATGTGAATCCCAGAGCACTTAAATAATGACATTTATGCATCCCTTGAATGAAAAGCAGTGCACCCTGTACCCAATTGTTTTATTCATTGAATCAAGTGAGTATGTGACAGCCCAAGCAAATTCCTGCCTGTTAGCTAGGAACACAGTTACTCCTGAAGTTCTTTATAAACTTCTTTTGGCAGAGGTACAAAACGCAGAGAAGTTACCGAGGCACATTCCCCACAGCTGCTGTAATCTTTACAAACCGATTTCTTATTGCACCAAGGGAATAAAAATAATGATATTCACAATAATAACAATGATGACGATGATGACATAGTTATTACATTTTCATCAGAGGATCCCTAAGCACCTTATAAACTATATATATATAGCTAAGTTTCAGAATAAATAATACTGCAAGATATATAAGTATTATACTTTATTTTGCATGGTCCCATTAGGCTAAAGAAACAATAGAACAAATCCTAACTTACAGACTACCTTAACTTTAAACTTTCTTCTAATCATAATGTTAAAACTTGAAATAGCCTTCCCCTCCATGCTTTTCTCTATAAAAATTTCCATCTTGAAATATTTTGAAGAAATCTGGACATGAATCAGAAAGCACAAGAATACATGGAAATCCCCTCAGCCCTTCTTATGTTGTTTTCAGCAATTCTACTTGAGGTGTGAAAAACTGGAAATTTCTTATTTTGAAAACACTGCTACTGTACTAAATAAAAGTAGCAAAGTACTCAAACACACTTCTGGGCAGCTCTTTTATTTTATCCAAAAAACATTTTTATTTAGGAAAAAGATCTATTGGAAAGTTTTTATCTTTTACAAAAATATGGAGATTATTTCAGTTTACCCTCTTCACTTTGGGTAAAATCCTTTCCTAATTACAAAACAAAAAACTTTCATAATTAATTCACCTCACCTTCAAATCCCTCATTTTTCCTACTATCTCTTTGTAAATGATTAGGTAGGACAACATTTCTTATCTTGTCATGTATTTGTTTGTTCCTTATTGGTCCTCTAAGCTGATGCTACAATGGTGTACATATACAATTATGCAGTTTACTAACCAAAGACATTCTATTCAAATTAAATACTCATTAATATAGCTTGAAGCATGTGCTAAAGTACTCATAGAGTCTGGGTTATTAGTTTTCTCTGTTGGATTGTTTGCATATTACATATTTTATGGAAGAGAATAAAAAAAAAAACCAAACCCTTTAAAAACAAGAAAAAATGTTTGCAAAGACAAGACACCATCCCTCCGAAACCTTCTTATGAAAAGTAGCAAGTGCTATAAAGCTACAGACAATAAGTTAGTCCGGCCAATTGAAACTAATAATTACATATTTCCCTTTAAATGACTTGCCCAAGGTCACGCTGCAAATCAATAGCAGATTCGATAATTTAGCCCAAGAGTCCTGAAACCCAATATCCTGCTCTCACCACTAGAAACCACTGCTCAACCGGCTTCCAATCTGTGAATGATACATTACGTAGGGAGAAAAATTATAGGTGTTTTCTTCCTTGTGTGCTCCCAACATATAAAGAATTTCTATTTTCCTCAGTCTAGTATAGTAAATACCAAGGCACGTGTTCTGTAAAAAATGTCTTGAAAAGTTGTCAGAAGCTGCTGGGTCTGCTGGCTGAAAATTACACCTGGGGCTGCTCTGAGCGTTACTAATCTTGTGTGCATTTCTTTTCCTTGCTTGAAGAGTAACTCCTATGGCCAAGCTGATAAATATCCAAGTAGCAGTAACAACCAGAAAATAATTTGTTTCCAATGAGAAAATTTCTCAAATATTTTTATCCAATCTGCTGGCAATATCTTGATATTCAGCTAGGTACAGATTTACTACTATTTTTTTCAAAAACTCATTTCTTTTTACATTTCAAAACTCTTTTTTTCCCCCATTATTTTCTTGCCAATAGTTGCAATAGAATGAATAAGATTGAGGGGCTCTCCTTTCATTTTCCCTGTTTTTCTCCACTCTGTATGTTCCAAAGTAGAAATATGTCCAATGAGGACAAAGTTGTAAAAACAAACAAAAGTATGTAAAATTCTGTTTCTTTTTAATGTTTTCAAACAAAACATGAATGTGAAAGCACTAACCTCTGGATTTCCCCTTAGAATTATAAAAGAAAAAGAAACAATTCTGCATGAGGAATTCACGCAGTGTGCAGAAAGGAAAGTCACTGCGTCTGTCCTCTTGGGACCCCTTCAAGCAGTGATGGGGAGGGGGAGCCCAGAGCCTGTAGGAGAAAGTCAGGACTGGCCCTGCAGTACTTTGGGTGCAGGGAGCTGAACAGCAGTGCATCCTGCCTACAGTTCCTCCCTCTGATCTGGGAGACAGCAATCTCCTTCCACACCACCAAGGCTGGTTGGAGACACAGTGCTGAATTTGTTGCATGTACCGTCAGCTTCAAACCCAGAGCATGGGCTTATCCTTCAGTGCCTCCCCTGGATGTGTGCTGCAAGGTCACCATCAATTTTCCTGCCATCCCTGCTCTTGTGGCAGCCTCCCACAGCAGGTGTTCCTCGAGCCACCCGCTCTGAGCACACCAGCTCATTTGTCAGTTCTGACCTCAAGCTGCAAAAGCTTTTCCCTGCCCTTCATAGAGCACATGTGCAGGGAGTTTTAATTAGAATAGATTTTATTGCCAGGCAGGAAAGGGCCCCACTCAATTCTCCAAACACATGGTCCCCACAGCCCCGGCCAGTAACAAGGTTATGAAGACACTCTGACAAGACTGCTTAAGAGTTGGCTGGTGTCATGCTTGGATGTTGCACATGTGTACCCTTTCCAATCTTGACCCCCAGGATGGCATAAACCTTATGCCTGTGAGGTAGCAGCAAGCCAGGTTTATGTTATCCCTGATTCACAACCAAACAAAATATCCCCCCACCCCTCAGGATGTCCTCTCTTCAAGACATTGAGTCTCAGGGGAAGGAGTTATGGAGCCTCCTGAGACCCTCCTGTGCAGTGAATCACCAGGGCCAGGTGGAGAAACCCCAAAGGGAGCAGGTGGTGGGAGGCCAGAGACACTGAGAAATCAGCATCATGGGTGCTCCTGAGGGGTTAGAGCTCCTGGCAGGTACCCTGAAGGATCCCAGGTTCTGCCAAAGTTCAGTTTCCTGGTGGTGAAAGCAGTGTCTAACTACACACACAAACCAGATAAGTGGGTAATGGCAATCTGGGAAGGTCAGGCCAGCCTATGCCTTGTGGGGAAGGTGAGCCTCTCCAGGCAGCATGATGCTCCTTGTTTGAATGGATGCAACAAGAGCCATAACTGATGATGCTTTTCCAAAAGGCTTGCTTATTGTGCATACTTGACTTGAGACATCTTGTGCTGGCCTGATTTTAAGGCAGCAAACACATGGACCTAAATACACAGGTGTAAGATGTCTTGTAACCAAGAACCTCAGGTCACCATCACCTTCTTAAACCTTTGGCTATGCTGACAACTACCACATTAGAGCTACAAATGGGTAGCATAGCCCCAGAGAAGCAGCTGAAGCAGGTACAAGACAGAAAGCAAGCCCCAGGTAGCTCATACAGTCTGTATGAGTCAACATCACTGATTTCTTCACACCAAGCTCACCCACACCTTCCTGGTTGGGCGAGGGTCAACTGGGTCACAGCAAACCATCAGAGGAAGACATCTCTGGGCCATTTAGCGTTACAGATGATCTTCAGTGCACACCAGTGCCAGATATATTGGAGAACTGAAGCAACCTATGATTGACCTGATAAACATGACATTTTTTAGTGATTTCTCTCTGAAAATAGATGCAAGCCCTGAAGAAGAGAGCTGATTGCTCCTTTTACCTTACAACACTGGCTACATTAGCAATAGCATCAACCATTACCAACTCCTTATAGTACCTCATTTTAAGAATAGCCGTTCCAGTGCACTGAATGCTATTTTTTGCAAGGCATGAGGAGGTAATGGCAGGGCCATTTGAGCCTTCAGATGATAGGAAGTAATGCAGAACAGCCAGGCTCTGGGCACAGCTCTTTGCCAATGCATACATTTCGTTGGTTTTCAGAACAGCAGGAGTCTGGGAAGCAGAGCAGAATTTTGGTCCCTCATCTAAGACTTGGCTGTATACAGATTTGCTCTCTTAAGCAGAATGATGAGGTCTGTTCTTTCTCAGTCTGGCTGTAGGATTTAAAATGGAAGCTTATTGTTATCATAGTCCCATAAAACTCAAACCCAAATCTAGCCCTTGGCTACCCTGGGTGAATTTCTTATGGATGGCAGAATGGCCCAAGATTTCTTAAAGGAAGCTGTGAGAAAGAGTTGATATAAAAATGTACCCAAACCCTGGCATTCCAAACTAGGGCCTTGCTCCCCTTTAAACCTGTCCTTTCACTAGAAGGAACTGCAGCCAGACAGCAAAGTTGCACCAGTGTAGAAATGCTGTCTGGGAGTGGAAGATCAGATTCCTCAGTGACACTTTGTGGCTTCAGAGCTTGGGGGTGCTTTGATATGGGCTGTCAGAGACCAAACTAAGACGCTGTGATCTAGTGTTTAATCTTTGCCACAGGGGCCTCTGGAGCTGAAATTCTCTTCTTCAGACTGATTTCTTGTTTGAAATAAAATCAGGTATGTTTACTCCATAAAGTACAATGGAAAATCTTGAAACTTAAACAGACCTATGGCCTCTCTACGCATTCTCTAATGTGCTACCCATTACAAGCAGAAACACCACAGGCAGCTCTCCTCCCATCACAACCTGTCCAGTTTGTGTCAGGTGAGCAGAACAGCTCACCCCAGGAATGCACTATTTAAACTTTGCCTGATAAATAACACCGAGGACAAATTAGCCGAAGTTTCATTAGCTGGGCCTTTTGGTGATATCACTGGGAGACATCACCTGATAAGAAGCTGCTTTGCAACCCGATCCTCTGTTTCTCTATCATGTGCCTAGGTGATGCTTGGAGAACACAAATCTGTTAGCAGGCAATTTACTTATGCCTTGCCAGGTCCATTTGCAAGCTTCTCTTTTTCACTGTGAATTACTGTAACATCAAACATGACACCTGCTCCTCCTTGGGAAAAAGCCAGTGTAGAGTAAGCAGCCAGCAGAGCTGTCTGATCCATCAATCTTGCTTGTGGCAACAGTGTCCTAAAAGATGTAAAAACAGAGATGAATGCCTCCAAGTAGGATGTGAGCCGCTCAACCCACTTATGGAATATTTTTCCATGTTCTCTTATAATTACACCTCATTGCCTGTCACAAGAGGTGAAAAGCCTGTCCACACCCCAGGCACTTCACTCCAGCAAGGCATGACCGGAAAGTGAATTCTGGAAAATGGCTCCAAAGGTAGGAAAGAAATGCAATCAAGCACACTGAGGATAGACACAGATTGCCAATAACACAAGACATTTAATGCTTATGATTCATATTTGCTTATTTTATCTCAGCATCATCATTTAGGTGCCTCTTCTGCAAAACAGCAAAAAGAACAAAGAAAACCTTGCCTCAGGTGGCATCATTCCTCATAGCCAGAGGTAGGCACAAGCCATTTTCACAACCAAACAGTGATTTCACTGGGGGAAAAAAAAATAATAAAAAAATCAACTGATGAAAAGATTAAGAGGTCTGAAAAGAAATATTGTGTCGCCATTTCAATAAACAAACTTCCAGCAACTAGTCAGGCTTCATACCTGCAGTACAGTGTGATATTACACTATCTTGCACATGTTCTTTTCACTTTGATGAAAATTAACGTTTATAAAAGAAGCAAACAAAATATTTCTTTGGTCAGACTTGTGTTCCAGCAGGGTGGTGTGCTGGAAACACTCGCAAAAGGTGATGCTGTTTATTAAACAAGAGAAACAAAAGTCCAACCACAGATTTAGATAAATTACAGTTCCTTGGTTTAAGATTAATTGTTTCCAGGAAGAAAAATGGAGTTTTTCCCAGGCTTGTTTTTACTACTGACACTGCATTCTTTCACACTATCTTTGGAGAAATTTCTCCCTTTCACTCTTTGGGATGCAGGGGAGTTATACCAAGCACCATCTTCTGCTGAGTAGCTGGATCTCACTTACAATGCGGTCCTGTTCCTTTCCTGAAGGAAAATCTGCTCTCCTACAGCTCCACACCAAGCCTCAGAGATGTGAAAACAGATCTCTGCTCACCCAGCTGTAGCAAACATCCCACACACACTGAAAGGAAGCAGCGCTCTAGTAGAAATAGAGGAGCAGAGGCAACAAATGTCATATAGCCTCATCTAGCTAGCTGGAATAGAAATCTCCCTGCGTAGCAGAGAGGTAACATTTCTGCCATGAGCACCTTACTACACTGAAAACAGAAGTTTAACTACAGCATTCTTTAATTCTCTGTCCTGCACAAACAGCAGTCCCATATCAAGTTAGCTATGCAGACAAGGCTTGCTATGAAATCCCAAGGGCCATCAAGCAGGGTATCTCTTTCCAAGGTAAGGGAGAGCTGGTTTCTAAGCTGAAGAGTTCTTGCAGAGAACAGACATACAGACTCCCTCTTTAGCCTAGAATATTTGTTGCTGTTGAAAAATGCTAGTAAACTCTTCTAATAGAGGTATAGCAATACAGACTACCTGTAAGACAAACAGGGATAACCATCAAGAAACCTCAAATACATAATCACCCTCCGAACCCCTCCCATTTCACCCTCCTATTATGAAACCCATGACAATGTCCTCTCTTTTATAAGTGAGCACAGTTAGCTCCGTAAATAGTTCAGCTGCACAGCTCAGCTGTGCTGTAGTGGAGAGCTGCTGATTTACCCCAGCTGAAAAAAGCTGGTGCCCAGAGTTACTAGTTCTGCAGCTGATTAAGTTGTGTTTCAGGGAGTAGATGTGGGGTAGGATCTTCCCCCCCCCCCCTCCCTTTTTTTTCCTAGTAGGGTTGGGAAATTCATTCTTAGAACAAACCAATCATTCTGCTTTCATTAGAAGTCAATTGCTCTGCAGAAATCTTTATGACTCTCTTTATCTTTTGCTAGGTGGAGAGCAGAAGCACTTCTATCTATTTTTATTCCTTACAAATAATCTTGTGTAAAGGAATTTTTATCTATAAGGAAACAATTAAAGGATCAGGAATGCTCGGTTCTTTCCATTTTCAGCATGAACTTGCATCTCATTGGTATTTTTTTTTTTTTAGTCTCCTCTGGAATTCTGTGAAGCTGTGTAAGAAAAGTCTGGATGAAGTGAATGTTGTAAGGAAGAGAAGAATTCTTTTACAGCTGGATCCTGCTTCCTCTGTGCTAATTGATGCAGAATAGAAACAAATGTGGATGCTAAAATACAAGAAAAAATAGCTGACTGACCTCACGTCCAGACAATACCATGCTAATTATTTCACATAAATCAGAGCATAAGAAAGTTTGGCGTGCTCTGTTCAGTCTATAGGAATAATTTGTTACAGTATAGGAGAGAAAAATTAGCCAAATTGGAACACTAGTTCACACAGAAGTGAACTCATTGACTAAATGCAATTGTGTCTATGCATGAACTGAATTGGACCACATTGTTCATAATTCTGTGGTCATCACTGCTAAAACAAAGTGCATCCTTCAACACGCAGTCTGTGGGATGCTTTGCTAAGCAGTTGTGCCTCTTGCAAAATTAAAACCTTCACTCAAGCATAGGCTCGAGACTTGGTGGCAGCAGGGTCTCCTCAAATGGGTCCAGCATTTTGTGGCTCTGCTCACCAAGGGAATACTGAGTAAATTGTCTTCTTGGGCACTCTGACTCGTCAGCACTGAGACACCCACAAAGTGCTTAGCAAAGCATGTCATGTAAAATGGCCACCCAAGGTGTAGGATCCCACAGGATGGTACTAGCAGAGAGGAGATCAATTGTGGACCAAGGATCTGCAATATGTTCTTGTTTCCCTCTCCTTTACCTTAAAAGGAGAAACATCTAAATCTTGTGTTAGTGAAGTTTGGTCACTGAACCACAAAGATGCCACTTCTCTTTGTTCTGTTCCTTGCAGGTACTTGGTGCTTTTGCAGAATGGGGGGAAATGGAAGCAAGAGGCTACAGCAGGGTTTCACAGTTCAAAATCCGGTGTTTGCTTTTTGTGAAAGGAACAAATATTTGCAACCATCAGCATTTTAACCTCAAATGATTTCATTTCAGAATCCAAAATTGCAGAGGGAACATTTCACTCTGGCTTTGCTGATGCACTCCAGTTTGTGTAACTCTTCCCCCGGCTGCGGATTGCTGTTGCTGGTAGCTTTCATCTTCCCCAGTTGATCTTTTTTTCCCAGTGTCATGTTGATTTATTTGTCTTCATTGGGATTCTGATAACATTTCACCAATAAATTAGTTTTAAATTAAACTCTCTGTTGTGACTTTTATGTTGGGTCCAGTGCATGTGCTGGAAAGGAAATTTCATTTCAGAGATACTTTATTCTTCTTTTTATTGCCCTCTTCAGCTACAGATTCACCAGCTGTTACATTTATTTTACTTTGGGTGAAAGTTGTAAAAGCACTCTGTAAATTATGAATAAAAATTGCCACTAGTGAAAATGAGCAATTGAAAAATAAAAACCAACAAAAAAGCCACAAAACAACTATTTCAACTTGTCTCAAAACATAAGCAGTTGTACATAAAACTGAGGATTCAGCTTAGTATGGGAATACGAACCTCTGCCTTGTTTATGAGGTATCTACCAAGGGAATAAAGCCATACAGTGCCTGTCCCTCCAGCTCTCCCTATCTCCCTGCTGATAGACCTGTACAAATGCCAGAAAGCAGCACCAGAGCAGCCTGGGGAGGGCCTTGAACCACACTCAGTCTGTCTTTTTCCATTTATTGAGGTATGTCACTGTCACCCTGCAGCTCCAGGGTGATGCCAGCTGGGCTGTACCCCTTGCCCAAAAGCCATGGTCCTGACAGCCTGCCCAGCAAGGACTCCCTGCCCGCAGCCCCATCCCTGCTTCTCCTCCACTTCCATGGCAGCCTCAATGGTTACACTGAGAGTGGTTTTCCACCTGCTGGGGAATCCTGCAGGCAGACATGCAGCAACACAAGAAAAACTGTTTTCCTTCATAGAAAGGAGGCCTATGACCCACTTCTGCTCTGTCTGTGCCAGGTGAAGCTGTGTTCCCTTCCCAGCAGCACCGCACTGGCCACCTCTGTGCTTTTGAGCAAGGCAGGAAATTGTTTCTCGTGTGGGTGGCAGCAGGATTCACAGCACTCTGCGCGCGGCCGCCTGGCCCAGGGCAGGCTCCCTAAGCTGGCCTCTGGTCTCTCAGTTTTGGCAGCACTCTCAGGTGCTGAGAGGAGGTGAAAAGTGCATGTTTGGCTTAACCGAATTCCAAAATGCTGGATTTTACGGTATGGAATATAAAAGCGGCAAACACTGCTTCTGCTGTAGTTTATTTTTGTAGCAGATACCATTCATTCTCCTCTTGCCTCATCTTTTCAGCGTGTTGTGGTGATGTATAGTCTTCTTGATGAAGCACTTATCTGGGACTTGTTACCGTAATGACAAAACCCTCCATACTCTTTCAAGGTTTTATTATCAGAACCACTGCTTTGCTGCAAGCTGATATTCATAAATCATCATTTTCTCATGAAACCAAAGGGAAAAAAAAAAAAGATCTGAAAACCTGCCACCTATTTTACTGTGTGATTCCTCACATGGTCCATCTGCCTGACCCAAAGGCAGAGTCATGTCAGCTGTGCCTGATTTGTATTCCATTACATTTATATATATAGTGGAATATATTTTATACTCCAGGAGATATAAAAGAATCTCCTGGGTTTGAAGGGTGAGCCCAGGTTTCAGGCTGAAGGCTGAAACCTGGCAGTGCTGTGGCTGGTGAGGGGGTTTTATGCAAAGCCAGTGTCAAAAAAAAAAAGGATGGAAATTCAGTCAGAAAGAAATCATGAAGTCTTGTGCCGAGAATAAAGTCTCAAGCTCTCTGGTGGTATCTTCAGAATAGATATTGTTTGCTGACCTGTACAATGTCTTGCTCCATAATGACTCTGAGTTCTGTGCTGCCAGAGCCTTGTGCGCAGGGACTGCCTGCCCGAATCGCACCTTCAGCCCTCAGCTGCAGCTTCCTATTCCCAAGGGACCACCTGAGGAACATCTGCCTTGGCCACCCTGTCCTGCAGAGCAAGAAGGTCAGCCAGGAGGTGTCTGGCCGTGCCCCTTCCCGTCAAGGTGCTGGAGGAAGCCCCGGGAGGAGACGCACCTTGGTGCCTCTTGTGTCAGTCCCTGGCCTCAGAGGAGACAGCTTTCATGTATTTTCCTCTGTAGCCTCTTGCTATTTTTGGAGAGGAAATCCAGAGGAACTCTTAATAGCAGCATGGATGAAAAACAAACCTCTTTGCCTTAGTCCCCAGGATAAACATTTCCAGCACCAGATGAAAATGAGGGCCCCTGAGGTTCCCATCCCATGTCTGTGTCCCAGCACCCACAAACAGGACATCCTCTCCAGCTCTGCCAGTGGTGGCATTTCCCAGAGCAGATTCCCCCCTTGTGTCCAAACCGCTTCTCACCTTGCCTGCACAAAGCACCTCTCTGCCATCTGGGACTTCTCAAACCTGTACCTTTCTACTCATTGCCCCAGCCCTTGGGCCCCCTGCTGCACTGAAGGGTCACATCCCCCTGGAGCAGGCGGGCCTGGTGTCACCTCCCTGCTGCTAACCCCATGCCGCTGTGCCCACCTCCCCCTGCTGTGGGGCAGCAGCTCCCTCCCACCCCTTCCGCTGGGCAGTGTTTTCCCAACAGATCATGCGAAGAAATCAGCCCGCATCCCCCGCTGGCTTTGGCCGGCCAGGAGAGTGGCTCTGGGATTTCTCTCTGTCATGGGAGTTGTGCAACTCTGCGTTTCCCTCATATTTTATGGCTCCTGGTCTCCTCTCCCAGCTGGCAATCTTAGTGAAGCCTCAATGCTATGCAGCTCTTTGCTGGTGGGGCTCAATTGGGGTGTCTCTGCTGCAGGATCTGCAGGGATCCCACTTGTTTCAGGGATGCTCTCCTTCCCAGACTAACATTAGGTCAGTCTTATTAGATCTTTGTTAAATCTTTGGATGTAGTTCACTTCCAAGTGACAGTGTTTGGTCTGATATTTTTGGATGTTAGTTATTTTAAGATTTAGGGAGGGTTTTTGTGTGTTTTTTTGTTTTTTGTTTTTTTCTCTTTGGCAAATGAACTTATCCCACTGTACAAACAAGGAGGAATCAGAGCTATTTATGAATTTGGGATAAACACAGAGAACTGTTTTCCTGAAAAAAGAAATGAGTCTGTTTAAATGTTAAACAATATTTCTTTTCAACTTTTTCTAAACAGAAACATTCTTTTGCATCTGAACTACATTTTCATTTATGAATTGACATCAGTTGTAGAAAAATTTTTCAAAAGCTCGCATAAAACAACCCAAATGAGCCATTTCTAGTTCCAGTCAGAGTCTTTGTGATTTTTACTTTTGGTTCCCTACCAGAACCCAAGACAGCCCTTGGTGCTTGGGTTTGCAAACCACTGTGGTCTGAAGAGCTGTTCTCACTCTTTGCCACAACAGCTTTCCTGGCACTGGCACCCACCGTTTTGTTGACTCTTCCTTGGCAGATGGCAGAGGGACAATATCCATGGCTGCATTGACCAAGAAGGGTCCTCCCCAGGACACCTCTGTCCTCCACTGAGGCTGTTGC